GAACCCACAGCAGTAAGACAGAAGCTGGTCGGATAGGAATTGGGCCAAGTCACCCTTGAGAATGCATATTTGCACTCTGAAGGCATTTTGACTTTTCAGAGCATGCCACAGCCACTGGGCCCATGGCCTCACAGCAGCTGTGCCTACATTGGGCCTACACAAAGCTGTGCCGATCTGCAGCCAGTCACGAATTGGGAGGGGTGTATGAGACTCTGCTCCTCCCTGCTGAACAGCTACCAAGATCCTGGATTATCTTCGGTTGTGTAGCCCATGGGGAGCCCACCAGGCTCCAGTGGAGTTTCAAGCCCTGGCCACAAAATGATCCTGGTTAAAATTAGTGGGTCACAAAACAAGACATGAACATGGAAAGAAGACTCTGACTTACAAGGAGGGAATGATGGCACGGTTGACGGAGGGAATAGAAGGTGAAAGTGAGGAAAACCAGAAACAAGTATAAAATTGTCAAAGAACAGACTGATCAATGAAAAGACAAGCCTTAGCTATAAAGACATATAGTCAACAAAGGATGGAAACAGATATTCAATATACATGTTAACCAAAAGATTAGAAGTGGCCAAACTTGGATCAAACAACATGGACTGGAAGTAAAGGCTGTCACAGAGGAAGGGTGTTCTACATGAAGTCGGCATTTTCAGCAGGAGGGCAGAGGAGTTTTAGCATACACACATTTAACATCAGGTAACCCAAATATATGAAGCAAATTTGACAAAGATGGCATGAAGACTATTAGCAACGATTCCAATAAGAGATTTTATTTTATTTCCGTTTACTTATTTTGTGTGCCTATGTGTGGGCGTGGGCATGTCAGGGTGCACATGTGGAGATCAGACGACAACTCCTGGGAGTTGATTTTCTACATCCACCATGTGAGTCCCAGAGATCAAACTCCGGGCCTCAGGCTTGACAACAGACTTGACAGTTAACCTTTACCACTGAGGCCATCTTGTCAGCCTGCCGCCAGCCTCCCAGAGATTCTAATACCTCATCTTCAATAATGAATACAACTTTTAGTATAGTATTTATAAATGTGTATACATGATTATAAGTGTGAATAAACTATGATATATTTATCATTCAACAGTAAAAGTAACAAGTACTGATTTAGAAATGAAAACATTAAGCTGACTAGAAGGCACATGCAGAATATTACTACCATATGATTACATTTACACAAAATTCTCCAATAAAATATAATAGATTCAACAACAGAAAGACATAATTATCAACATATATAAAGTGAATAAATCTCAAAGGTACTATGGTTACTAAGAGGCCTTAACATAAATGCACATTGCTTACGACTGCAGGCATGTGAAACTAATCTACCCACAGAGAAACAAAGACTGCGGCTCCAGTTCACTTGGCAAGCAGGAGTTAAGAAAAGTTATGGGTGAACTATCAGAAAATGATAAAGGTCTATTATTTTAAAGGGCATATGCCTTTGTCAAGCTCAGCAAATGTATGCTTAGAATTGTACATTATAATACTTATTAATTTTACCACATGTTTTAAAGTATCTTTTCAAAAGAAAATTTTGTAAAATACTAAACTCTGTAACTAAATACTAAAATATTTAAAGGGAATATATACTGATGTCTGAAACAATGGATTCAAACTTTATGATGAATTAATGAGCAGAGAGGAAAAAATGAGTAGGTATTTGATAATCCAAGCAGAAAGCTAATGTAAATGTCGAGGTAGTGAATATATCAGTATTCAGTATAAAATATATAATCAACTTGGCTATATACTTGAAAATTTTAATATCTTGGGGGAGAAAAGTCTATTAAATATAGTTGAAGCACTGGTTTCAGGAAAATTTGTAGCCTTAAACACTTTCATCAGTAGAAGTTGTGCATACAAATATAAATAAATTCCCAGCTCAAAAGGTAGGAAACAAAAGGGCTGGGGAGATGGTCAGCGGGTAAAGGTGCTCACAGCCACACCTGCATTCAATCTCTGGAAGCCATTAGGTGGAATGAAGCAATCAGCCCTAAGCTGTTCTCTGACCTCCACACACAGGCCACAGCACGAGTGTGCTCATGCATACACACACACAAATTAGAAAAATAAGTAAATAAAAATGAAGTACAGAATAAGAAATAGGAATAAATTCAATAATCAATAACTTAGAAAACAGAAAAGCAGAAGCCATAATTAATCAAAATCTATTGTTTAATGTGTTTGTCTTTTGAAGCAAGGTCTGTGTAGCCCAAGCTGGTCTCACACTTGCTAAAGCTGAGGATGACTTCTGCCTCCTTCATGCTGGGATTATATGCTATGCATGTACTAATCATGCCTGGCACTTTTTCTTTTCAGTCTTGGTAATCTACCAGATAATTTAAATAGGAAAAAAAGTTATAATAAATAAATTAATGAAAGACAAAGGAAAATAAGCACTGAAAGAGCAGAAAAGCCTAGAATCTTTACAGGGTATTTTGTAGACTTCTAGGCATTTATTTATTATTTTTATTTAAAAATTTTTAAATTTTACATACTAGCCCCAGTTTCCCCTCCCTCCCCTTCTTTCTCCCCCACCTTCTCCTATCCCACCCTTATCCACTCCTCAGAGGAGGTTAGGCCTCCCTTGGGGCATCAACAAAGTCTGGTATACCAAGTTGAGGCAGGACCAAGCCCCTCCCCTTGTACCAAGACTGAGAAAGGTTTACCCATAGGGAACTGGCTACAAAAAGCCAGTTCACGTACCCAGGATAAGTCCTGTTACCACTGCCAGGGGCTCCCCCAACAGACCAAGCCACAAAATTGTCACCCACATTCAGAGAGCCTAGTTAGGTCCCATACAGGATCCCCAGCTGTCAGTCCAGGGTCCGTGAGCTCTCACTAGGTTGGGGTCAGCTGTCTCTGTAGTTTCTCCAATCATGATCTTGACCCCCTACTCTGCTCATAAAATCCCTCCTCTCTGTCTTCAGCTAAGCTCCAGGAGCTCAGCCAGTGCTTGGCCGTGCATCACTGCATCTCTAGGCACATATTCTAAAATCTATAGGAAATGGATAATGTACTAAACAAGAAAAGTTTATCAAAAGTAAGTCCTATGAAATAAAATTCAAGCTGTACAATTTCTGTTACAGAAATGAAGAAAGTTATTGTGACGGCACTGGGCCTAGAGGGTTTCATCAGTCTACAAAAGCTTCAAGGAAAGAGTCCCAATGACCCAAAATTATTCCTGGGCATTGAAAATGAAGAAAAACTTCTGAGGTCTCTTTCTGAAGAAACAGCAAAGAACATAGTTGCTAGATTTAATAAAAAGTAATATACAGAAAAGACAAATATCACATATAAATATCAATGTAAAATACAAAGTAAAAAGAGAGACCAGACTCTTCTACCACACCAAGAAAAAAAGAAATCTAGATCAACTAGGTTTACTCCAGAAAAGCAACATTGGTTCCTCAAGAGATCTGGGGGAATCATTTCTGGATAAAAAAAAAAAACTTCAAGAAAATTCAACACTCAGAACCCATCTCTCGTGGAGAAAGGGTGATGGGCACTCTCTTAAAATAGAAAAATATGCATGCTATAAGCCTGAAGATAGGAAATACAAGGTATTTTTTCAATAAAGTCACAGAAAAAAATTATATCCTTTCCAATGCTGTTCAGTATTATTCTAGAAGTTAAAAGCAATGCAATCAGATAACAGAAAGAAAGAAAAGGATGAGAATTAGAAACACAGAACAACTTTTATTCATACACAAGCCCTAGAGAGGCACATAGGAACTGGAACAGTAAAAGAATTGAGTGGCATAGGATGTAAAATTAGTATGAATTCCATAGATTTCATATATAAAAATAACAAATACTTACATATCCTATATATCCCCATGTATAACAGCATTAAGAAGTTAAAGTAATTTGGGATAAATTTAACAAGAAATGAACAAAATGTTTGTTTTCTGAGGAATACAGTCCTTATAAGAATAAAATAAAACCTAGACTCTGCTCTAAATAGAATTTAGCATGATAGAAGTGTAGAGGGACTGTAGCTGGTAAATTTGATAAAATCTGACTAAAAATAATACCAGGCTTTTATAATAGAATTAGGTGACTTAACAGCAAACTTATATTCATATGAAATGTCACCAGGTAATCACTGGGAAAGAACAGGTAAAGAATTGGGAGACTAAACCTACTAAAATTTAAAATATGCTATAAAGTCTCCATGATTGCAGGTACAGTAGATTGCAAGTTCAAAACCAACGTGCCAGAGAGTTTAGTGCGCTGTGAGATTCTTTTCTTTCTTGTAAAGGGCAGCCATCTCACTGGGCCCTCCCATGACACGCTCTGAGCTTAAGTCGGATAAATGGAAAGATCTCTCCTTCCCACTCCTTTTTTTTTTAAAGGTTTACACTTTTATCTTTATGTGTCTGTATACATGTATGCCACATATGTACAGGTATCTGGTACTGGTATCTGGTACCAGGTGCTGGTGTTTACAAGAAGCTGTGAACTATACAGTTAAAGCTGAGCCACCTCTCCAGCCCCTCACTTCCTCTTCGGATAGGGTCAACAGCATTATCAGATTATGGCTCCTAACAAGATAACCTCATTTAACCCTCGTTACTTCTATAAAAGCCTTACCTACAAACAGAAACACCAGGGACATAAGCCTTAACAAATTTTGGAAAGAACCTTTGGAAAGGTTCAGTCTGTAGCACAGCATGTTAGTTCTAAACCTAGAGAGTCTGCAATCCCTGGTCTTTCCTCTTCAGAATCTTCCACCATCAATCAGCGAATGAGAAGCCACAACCAGAAACAAACACAAGATACCTGAGTGAGCTTTCACCGAACCATCAGGTTCCAATAAAGCCATCAGATAATGACACCTGCAGGAGCAGTCTCCAAGAGAACAGAAGGATTGCCATCTGAAATAGTCAGATTGTAGAACCCAGGCAAAAAACAAAGGACCGCTACTGTGAGTCACTGATCTGGAAAGGGCCTGCTACCCAGCAGCATGTACATACCTTCTTGTTCTGCTTTTGGAGCGAGACCTCTGAACTCTATAGGATTTCCCTCGACCCCGGGAGCGACTTCCACTTCGTTTTCTTCGGGAGCCATACGAAGAGCCGCTGCTTGACCTGTGCCTGCGTCTGGAAGACACCATAAGCATCACCGCAGGGCACAGCTTTGGTTGTGAGCACTAAGAGGGAATCTAAAATTGTCCCACTTTTGTTGTTTCGCCCTTTCCTCAAAGAAGACAGAAGACAAAAAACATTATTGATCTCCAACACCCAGAAGGATGATTCAGACAGACTGGGTACAATTTAAGATATTGTGGGTCATATCATCAGATAATACAAGAACTATACCAACTTCTATCTGCTTGCTTACATACACAGGATATAGATACTTGGCCTGATTAGAAAAAAAATGAAAAGAAAACCTCTGGGTTGGGATTTGCCCTAAGTACCAACTACTAAAAGAAAATTATTTTAGCCAACAAAATTAAACACACAAAATAACATGACTTCTTAAGATCATTACTGTCTCTACCACGTAAACAGAAATCATGAGCACTAACCTTCTCTCATAAGAGTGTGAGCGAGGCTGCCGGTCCCTAGAGCAGGACCTGGACTCGGACCTGGGCCTCCTCCCGCCCTTCCTGCGGCTGTAGGTCCTGCTGTCTGAAGAGCTGCTGGAAGAGGGGCGCCTGCGGTGTTTCTTTTTCCTCTTGCTTCTGCTTTCTTCCTCGGTGTCTGATGACCGGCGCCCCATTTCTACAAGCGGACAATAAAAAATCCTGACTTAGTAACACAACAAATGAAATTCAAGACACAACTTTTTAAACTTAAATAAAAATAGTAACTATGCTCCTCAAACTGGCTGTGAACTTCTGGATCCAGCTGATTTTCCTGCCATGCCAGAGTCGCTGGAACTACCAGAACAGACCCACATACCCAGCTACATTTTAAAGTTTTTTAAAGTAAAACATGGTTGTCTTTTTTCCTAACTGTGTGAAATAGCTTTAACACAATTTTGTAGAATAATAATGAACTTTTTATACATCCTGAACAACTTGAATTTGCACCAACTTTTTTGAATGTCTTTTGACTATCAATCTTAATGAAAGTTCATTATATCAATTTTTTGACACTTTAAGTTGTCCTTATCATTAAGAGCATGACGTTTTGCTTAGTCGTCCATTTTAAACTCCCTAAAGATGAAAGGCACTTTAGAGTCATACTTTCCAAGTTGAGTTCTAACTATTTAAAGGGTTTTTTTGGTTGAGATTTTACTTAGTTTTATTTTATGTGTATGAGTGTCTGCCTGAATATATGTCTGTTTACCACATGAAGGCAGTGTCCGTGGAGTCCAAAGATGGTATTAGATTCCTTGAGACTGGCTTGTGAGTTATATGTGGGTGCTGGAAATTGAACCCGGGTCCTCTGAGCCATCTCCACAGGCCCTGAGTTCTAGATATTTCAAAGGGAAGACCTCATCAGTCATTATGGAAGTATGAGATGAAACAATGCACTATTATCATTTATTTCACTTCTGAAACTGAGGAAAGAAACGCTAACTCAAGTACCAAAGTTGATGGTTACTGGGAAGTCAGCCAGCTCTTTACACACAGATAGCTTGGTATGAGTCTTTCAGAAATCATTCAGCAATTGAATTTTAAAAGTAAAAAGAATGTTCATGCTTTTTTGACAGTACAATCCTACTTCTAGAAATATATCTGAAATTTTTATTAAAAGAAAGATAAATGCATGGGCTTGGCATGTAGCTTAGCTAGAAAACTGCTGGTCTAATAAGCAGTAGGCAGCAGGCTCTCCAGCCTGCATAACCTCTGAGTGTCAGGGATGTCTAGAATGCCAGCACTTGGGAGGTGGGGAAGAGAATCAGAAGGTCCTCCTTGGCGAAACAGAGACAAAGAGAGAAGGTAGCTAGCCTGGGGGACACAATTCTGTCTCAAAAAAAAAAAAAAAAAAAGAAGAAAAGAAAAATTCATGAACATTTTATTACAGCATCATTATATTGTATCTATGGAGGAGCTATAAGAAAACACATACATAGAAATAAAAATTAAAATGAACATGTAGAGAGAAAACAAGAAAAAAATAAAAAGAAAATAGTTTCTTATAAGGATTTCCAAAATGCAAAAATGGTTCAGAAGCATCCCCTAAAAGAAAAGAGCAGCTCTTTCAGGCCAAAGCACAAGCAGACATAATAGCATAAAGAATGCGGCTACAGAATTCACCACCACCTGACCAGATACCAGAGAACTACCCAACTCTAAACCCAGTCTTCAGCCAGCATCACAACAACCAAAGGTGCCCCCTCATCTGCAGAGCAGGCATTGCATGATGGAAAATGCATGGTGGGTGGGGCAGCTCCAAAATAACCACGACCACAGCCCAGGATCTAGATTTTGCTCCTTTGGGGTTTGCTTGTTTGTTAGACAGGGTCTTACTAGGTCACCGCAGGTGGCCTGCAACTCTCACAGACTTCCACTTGCCTCTGCCTCCAAGTGCTGGGATTAAAGGTAGGTGAGCATCACTAGCAGCTTCAACTTCGTCATCGCTACTCTGATCTGAAAGATGAATTCCTAGTTCCACTTCCTCAGAAGGTAACTAATAGCATTGAAATAATTAAATACATTGTTTCAAAATATGAAACATAACCTTCCTTTTCTGAAGACTTTCTACATAGTTATGGTCATAGTTGTATATTTAGTATACAAAAGAGAAAAAAAAAAGGATGCCAGATCCTGATACTCAGGAATTAGTCAATCAGAACCTTGAATTACTATAAAGGCAGCCTTGAGAGTCTCATGTGCAATACTTACTTGATAAAATAATTACTAGTTACCTTACAATAGCATTAAAAAGTAGGATTCATCCTATGAAATAATTAGATCAAATGTCATATTTTACTTTAGTAATTACTTCTAACAAGCTAAATATCATGACTATAAATAAAATAATGTGTTAAAATACTGTTTTGTTTTGAGAATTATCAAATGATTCATGAACTCTGAGTCAATTTCAGTATAAACGTTCTGCTAGGGCTAATTCAAAACTTTAAATAATTTATCTAGAACCAGAATTAAATATTTGTAAATATAATTTCTTAAAATTCTTTTTTATTATTGGTGTAATATATATGTGTATATATATATGTGTGTGTGTATATATATATATATATATATGAAAGATATGTGTGGCCAAGGATGCACCTTAGTGTAATGTGGAAGTCAGAGGACGACTTTTGGGAAGTCGATTTTCTCCTTTAGCATGAACTATGAGGATCAGACACAAGTCATCAGGCTTCCACAGCAAGCACGCAATTCATGCAAACATTGAGAAGCCTTGGGTTTCAAACGTTGAGTAAATCACTAATATCCTTTAGCCAGTTTCCAAACTGAATAAAATCTGCCCTGAATAAAAGTTCAGCATGATTCTTTCTGCTTAAAAATTTTTATAAAATTATATATATTCATAAAATGTACACATATACATGTCCAAAGTACATAGCTACATATTTTCATACACGTATGTATATATCAAACTGTAGATCTACATATATACTACATCTACATTAGATATCCCTATATGTGTATATATTTTTAAGTATATAAAATATATACCCAATTCAAGGGTGATAATAGTTTTTTGCTTCTTGGCTTTTTCTTCCTTTTTTCTCTGTTACTTTCACCCTAAGAACGGACAGACTGACATGTGTAGTAGCACACATTTTGGAAACCAGCAATCAGGAGGCAGAGACAGGCAGGTCTCTGTGAGGTCAAGACCAACCTGGTCTGCATAATAAGTTTCAGATCATCAGACCACCCAGGGTTGCACAGTGCAACCATGTGCCAAAAAACAAAACCATACAACTTTTCTTTTCCTCCAACAAGTATTTAAATTAAAATGACTTCTTGTTAGGTCTTGAATACTCTCATTTAGAAAATACTGAATCGCCAGGATTTTATATTCTTATTTAAAAAATACTGAAGTGTCAAGCATACCTGTAATCCCAGCATATGGGAGATGGGGCAGGAGGATTTCCACAAGTAGGAGGCCAGCCAGGTCAAAAATAAACAAATATATAAATCTGGAGCATAACTAAAAGAAAGTTCACAAGGATGAAGAAACTAGAAGACACCTAGATGATGGTGGTGCACGCCTTTAATCCCAGCACTCTGGAGGCAGAGGCGTGTGGATCTCTGAGTTCCAGGGCTACCCAGAGAAATTATCTTGGGAAAGGAGGGGGAGACAGAGACAAACAGAGACTAGAAGACAACAGGGAAAACAGACAAGATAAATCAACCAAGTTTGAGGAAATAAAAAAGTGATTAGGGTTTAGAACTACAAAAACTGAATACTAAGCAACTTGCAGAAAATTCCAACAAGAAAAAAGCCAACTCATGCAACCTAAATCAGAATGAATCAGGAGTGTGAAACACACCACACAGGCGCAAATGAGGTATAAAGCCAGAAAAAGGAACTGACTGAATTTATGTACAAAAAATACTCTCAGGTTCCCTCCCCTCATGCCATCTGGCCAGGTGATTAGTCTTCTCCAACCCCAGCAGGACATAAAGTGTATTGGATAGGAGGACGAAATCTAAAAGATGAGATTTTTTTGTTTTTAAGTAGGGGAGACATAGGGATATCAAACTAAAAGTTAAAGGGGTTAAGTGAAAATTCCGAAGTCAAGTGTACATCCTTGGACAGAAATAAGATCTCTATAAAACCCACAGAATCAACTAACCTGGGCTCACAGGAACTGACTGTGACTGAACCAACAACCAGGGAGCTTGCATGGGGAGTGACCTAGTCTGCTACATATGTGTGAAGTTGTATAGCTTGATCTTCTTGTGGGACTTCTAACAGTGGGAACAGGGACTGTCTCTGATTCTTTTACAGGTTTTTGGGACCATATACCTTATACTGGGTTGCCTTGCACACCCTTAACAAGGGGAGGTGCTTAGTCTTAATGCAACTTGATATGCCATGTTTTGTTCATTTCCATGGGAGGCCTGCCTTTTTCTGAAGAGAAAATGAGAAGATTGGAGGCGGAACAGAGGGAAGATGGTGGGGAAAGAGTGGAAACTGCAGTCAGTATGTAAAAATAAATAAATTTTTAAAACAAAAAATTAACAACAACAAAAAGACTTCTATAAAAACTGAACTGTACCCAATGGACAATACATCTAAAGGTCCCTGAACAAAATGGCAGGTTCCCATCCAAGGACCCTGTAACACAGCCCACAACTGATGAGCTCAAATAGAAAGAGAGTGAACCTTTTCTATAGAGTCTTTTTCTGTTAACTTTTTAGTAGATACACAACAAGACAGTCCACTAGGTGTGGAAAGCGTCTGTCCTAAGCCTGGGCAAGGCGGCTCAGCACCGCTGCAGCAGCTCCCTGGTGCTGTGAGGCCCTGGATGCAGCACCCAGCAACACAGAACAAAAGTAAATAATAAGCGCAACACAGAAAACAGAAACAAAGCAACTCATAGCAAAGTGGGAGCATACGGAGAAAAGCAACAACAGAAACTTCAAGAACAAAACCTCATTAATATCTTCAGGTGGGTAATGAAAGGCGTCCCAGCAAGCAATGAGAAAATGCTCCAAGGAGAAAGCTTGGTCTAAATAAATGACAGACGAGATAAGGTTGGAAAAGGTCAAACACTTGTAGAAGGTGAAAAGAAAATGAGAAAACATGAAAAAATTGAAAACCTTAAAATAAAAGTAAAGACATCTATCCAG